ATTTTAATTTAAGATCAAACAATTAATTTGAATATCCAAAAATAACAACTGTTTGTTTATAGTTTTAAGTTTTCACTTCTGTCGGCAGTCCTCATGGCTGCTTTTTTTCTCTTTTAATAATATATATTTTATATTATATACTTATTAATACCATCACTAATTGATTAGTCAATCAAATTTTTATTACAAATATTATATGACGAGATTTTATATAAGCAGCTTAAAAGAAACGGTATATCCCAACGGAAGTCACCGGAAGTGATGAAGAAATCGAAACATTTTACATTCAGCATTTTTTCTTGCCATACAATATTTATTATGAAGTTAAATAAATTAGTTGCAAAATTTAAATACTCTCCTAATAAAAACTTTTTAGCAAAAAAATAAAAACCGACTTCAAACAAAAGCACTAAAAAGTAAAATAATAACTGATTGGTAGCTATCATTTACTATACATACCTAATCAAATATTTTCGAAGTCAGTGTGCTTTGCTTTGTATCGGCTGGCACCGACTTCGAAATTTACACTCGCTTAGAAAACCAAGTGAAGCGGGTTCAAATCCCGGGAGTCGCATTTCTGATATTTTCATTTTCAAAATGATTGCCGTATGGTGAAGAAAAATATCGTGACGAACCTACATGTCTGAGAAAACTTAAAGCAAGTTTTCAAAAGGTATATGAGTATTAAGTCCACCATCTCGTCCAATTGGCGAGCTTGGTGGGCTTGAATCCCCACGCATTAAAGGGAGACTCATCCTTAGCAGTATACCTTAAAAAAATCTGAATGTAAAGAAAATAATAATCTGCTACTATAAATAAAGCTCACTTACACGTGAAAGGCATTTATATGAATAAATAAAGGGTATGACATAAATTAATCCGCGTAATTGAAATCAACACGAGCAGTGGTATCATTAAATATCTAAGATAATCCTCTCATGTTTCCGCTAGCACGTATGTAAAGAATTATATTTATTATTTTTGCATATTTTATTCATGCTTTTATTACAGTTTTATATCCAAAATATATTTTTTAACATTTTAATAAATGTTCACGGTATTGCCTTTAAAAGTGGTGGAAATACCATATTATAGTTATTTTTGGCCTAAACAAGACTAGTTACGAAAATTACTCGATAGTTACTTCATTCAATGTAAGTATTATGCAGTTTATATTTAAAGTAGCGTTTGCTTGCGGCTCTGCTCGAATAGTTCATTTATGATTATCTTAGTTCCAAAAAATACCAACTCCCTTCAGCATTATCATATTAGATTTAAGAATAGCGTACTAATATTATTTTATGGTAAAATATTACATGACAACCCTGAAAAAGATAACACAAAAAAGAGAGGATGACCGCTTGAAACAAAATATCACTAGTCTTTAATATTCTTAAATTGGTAAGTACTTGATAAACGTTTCAGGTAGCTGTACTTACCTTGACTTCAGCCACGCTCAATCATACCTCCAGACAAGATAACCCGAGAAATTATATCTAAACAATGCAATATATAATAAACGTATTGTTGCATATTTCTAAGTATAAGACGTCTCTACAACCTTAAAGCTCGCTTTTTTTAATGAACCAAGTTCAAGAACAGATGTCAAGACAGTTAACGACAGTCAATTTTCTTCTTTTTTTTTACGCAATGCATTTACGTGTTCCATCTACATATATATAATATACAGATTATGTGGGACCGATCAGAAGAGTACTACCCACTAAAATAAAACGGAACCTCCCCCGTCTTAATGAGGTATCGCGTCGAGAGATCGCTTACGCACTTAACCCTGAGACCCCAACGTCTTGTGTGCCAAGGCATACAGTCATGGTGTTGCTCTCATAATCCACTATGCCATCAGAGAATTAACAGGTACCAGTGACTCACATGGTCTCCTGGGACTTTCATTATCAGATAGCCGATGTTATAAGAAGTAACTTAGGCTACTTTTATTTTAGAAAAAGAATCAGGGTTCCGCGCAAAAAAATTAAAACCCGTGAAATCGTACCTAGGAACGCACCCCAGCGAAACAACCCTCGCTTATAAGTCGCTCGTTTATAATAATTAGTATGGATATGAATTTTTAAATTTTCCATAACTAGATTTCCTTTGTTTATATGCATAAAAACAAAATGGCAGTGTGTCGAATGATCTATTGAATTTCTAAGTAACGATCGTAAAAAAAAATAGGAAAAATTGAAATAGTGAAGTGAAAAATAGTGTTCAATGACTAAATTAAGTCGATACTTTCCAAATACTGCCAATTTATTGTTAGGATTACTAATTTATATACCGAATTTATACTCTGTGTTTATAAAATGTATTTTCTGAATGTCAGTTGACACTTGTCAATATTTTAAAAAGTAGGTCAACCCTACTTTTCGTTATGAACTTTGTTAGAATATTTAGTTTAGTCTTGCTTCATATTTGGTGGAAAGCAGTACAATATATACATTAATTACGAGAATAATGACGTTTTATTGGCCATCCCGTCATCTCAGAAGTGGGATGTACGGTGTTAATTCTACAACACATATCGGCTAACGACATTTTACATCGATATGAATATGAGTACATCAAAAAGTCCTCATCATAGTGAAACTGTAAGGCTTGTAAGTGGTACACCTACATTACCGAGGGACAAGCAAACGAACGACGTGACTCGATTACAATGTGAAGATGCTCGTGGAATTCATAGAAGTCAGGCGCGGCATCCACGACGACGTGAACGTAGTAGCAGTTCAAGCAGTTCAAGTTGTCGGAGTAATACGCGGGCTGACATGCGTAAACGACGAATTTCTGGAAGCCGTTCCAAGAGGCGAAAAGCAAGAAGACGTCGACACAGCAGCAGTGGCAGCCGAAGTTCAGCAGCCTCGCGGATTCGATCTCGAAGACGACGACAGAATACTGAAGTGGATAGTCAACAGGACCAGAGAAAGAGGGTACGTACTTCTGTTGATAATAGTTTGTATGATACTCATTTACTCATTCGGGAAATGTTACAAACAATGAACAATAGTCAAAGTCGAACCGACAAATTTCCAGTCCTAGGCAATGTTATACCCGAATTCGACCCAATGTCGAAAGATCAAACAGTGCATATGTGGATTAGTAAAGTAGAGGAGTGTTCACAGATATATGGTTGGTCAGATAGGCAAATTATTCATTATGCTTTGCCAAAATTAGCTGGGTTAGCCAAGTCATGGTACGAGGGATTACCCTCCTTATTATTTAGTTGGACTGAGTGGAAAGATAAATTATTAGAATCTTTTCCTAGTAGAGATGACTATGCAGAATTGCTTACAGAAATGTTATCAGTAAAAGCTAAAATAGGTGACTCATTAGAACACTATTATTACGCTAAAATAAAATTATTAAATCGCCTTGAAATTTTCCATAAACGTGCGGTAGATTGTTTGTTATATGGGTTAGATGATAGGTCAATCAGGTTAGGTGCAAAGGCTGCTAGTTTTACTGAACCTGAACAAGTATTAATATATTTTAAATCTATTAAGCAACAGTTACGGGATACAGATAGAAGTAAAATTTCATTTGAAAAGAGAAACAATCAAAACACTATAAATAATAACATTAGCTCTAATAATAATAACAAACCAATACGTTCTCAAAATGATAACGCACAGATTATCTGTTACAATTGTAATGAACCTGGTCACTATAGCTATAGATGCACAAAACGTATTTTGCGATGTACAATATGTAATAGAATAGGTCACTTGGCGGCAACATGTCCGAAGTTACCGTCAACAAGTAATGAAAAAACGGATAAAACTGTATTGAAAGTAAATAATGATTCAGATACAAATCAGAAATTTATTTTGGATGTAGAAATTAATGGTGTAACTATGCAAGGTTATATAGATTTAGGTAGTCAATGTACTTTGTTACGCCTTAACGTTGCACTAAAACTAAACTTAAAATGGAAAGAAAGTAACTTACCTAATTTGAGAGGATTAGGCAATAACTTAGTTCTACCAATAGGATCAACTATAGTAAAAATTAAAATTCAAAATATTATTGAAACCGTAGAGGTTTTTATTGTTGCAGATCATGTAATTAGTTATCCCATATTAGTAGGCCACTCATTTACCGAAAAACCGGGAATCACTATTACTAAAACACCCTATGGCTTGATTTTTAAGCGATATCCTAATCAAAAGCTTTGTTTATTTTCGAACGATAAAGTCACGATACCTGCGAAAACCGTAGGAATAGTTAAAGTCACTTCAGATACTAATTATACAGGTTCTTTTTATGTTAATGGTACTATACGAGGAAAGCCTAAATATAATTTTTATTTAATGCCAGGCGAATACAATTTTGAAAATCAACAAAGTTCTATTTTAGTTTTAAATCTCTCTGACAATGAATTAAATATTAATAACAATATTTTAATTAATAGAGCTAAAATAATTGATAATGAAAAGACAGTTAATATTTTAAGTTCAGAAGATTTAAATAAACTAAATGTAGGTAACATTTTAAATAATGAACAAATAGATAACTTAAAAAAATTACTTTACGAATTTAACACTTGTTTCTCGTCTGGTCTTAAAGACTTAGGATATACAGATATTGTTAAAATGGAAATAGAATTAACTGATTCTAAGCCTGTCGTTTATCGCCCGTATAGGTTACCATATGCAGATAGAGAACTAGTTAGGGTAATGGTCCAAGATATGTTAGATGCTGGAGTGATAAAAGAATCAAAATCCTCATACGCTAGTCCTATTGTTCTAGTAAAAAAGAAAACGGGAGATAAGAGATTGTGTATCGATTATCGTGCCTTAAATAATAAAACTAAAAAAGAACACTATCCATTACCTCTCATAGATGATCAGCTAGATTTATTATCAGGTAATAGTTTATTTATTTCTCTAGATTTATTTTCGGGTTACTATCAAATAGCTATTTCGGAAGGCTCTCAGAATAAGACAGCATTTGTCACTCCGGATGGACAGTATGAATTCACAAGAATGCCATTCGGATTGGCAAATGCTCCATCTATATTTCAAAGGACAATGAATAAAATACTCGCAGAAGCTAAAATAAAATATGCTTTAATTTATATGGATGATGTTTTAATTCCAGCTAAGTCTTATTCTGAAGGAATAAGTAGGTTGCGTGAGGTTCTAAGTTTACTACAGAAGGGGGGGCTTACCTTAAAATTAAGCAAATGCCATTTCTTTTATGATAAAATTGATTTCTTAGGGTTTGAAGTTAGTGCGAACGGTATAAGACCGGGCTATCAAAAAACATTAGCTATTTCAGAATTTCCAAAACCAAAAAATATACATGATATTAGACGATTTATCGGTTTGACAAGTTTTTTTAGAAGGTTTATAAAAAATTTCGCGATTATTGCTAGGCCGTTAACTGACTTACTTAAGAAAAATTTTTCATGGAATTGGACAGATCAACAAGAAAATTCATTTATTACATTAAAAAGTAAATTAGTGGAAAGACCTATATTGGCACTCTATGATCAAAAGCTTGAAACTGAATTGCATACAGATGCGTCTAAAATAGGTATAGCTGGAATCTTATTGCAAAAAGGGGCTGATAATTTGTTACGACCCGTTGCTTATTATAGTCGAAAAAATACTAGTGAAGAGCAAAGGATGCATTCATTCGAACAAGAGACACTTGCGGTAATATCTTCATTAAACAGGTTTAGAGTATATTTATTAGGCATAAAATTTAAAATTGTAACAGACTGTAGTGCCTTGCGTACAACATTTACAAAACGTGATCTTATTCCACGTATAGCGAGGTGGTGGATTCAATTTCAAGAGTTTGATTGTGAAATTGAATATCGACCAGGGAATAAAATGGGCCATGTCGATGCGCTTAGTAGGGGTCCTGTTAATGATTCTAATCCGGATACTGACTTACAAATATTAGACGTATTAAATTTCACCACTGAAGATTGGATAGCTACTATACAGAATAATGATGAGGAAATTAAGAGAATAAAGGAAATACTGGAATCAAAAAATACTAAAGATACCGTTGATATATATAATAATTATCAGTTGAAAGGTTTACAGACCAACTGTAAGGTTTACAGAAACATAGATGGAGGTATTAGATGGGTTGTACCAAGGGGTGTTCGATGGCAAATTCTACGCATGAATCACGATGATATCGGTCACTTCGGATTCGAAAAAACTCTTGAACGCGTAAGATCTACATATTGGTTTCCTAAAATGAGAAAATTTATTAAGAAATATTGTAATTCATGCCTAGAATGTGCATATCATAAAGTTCCGGGAGGTAAGAAAGAAGGAATGTTATTTCCTATACCTAAGAAAGATATACCGTTCCATACAATACACGCTGATCATCTCGGTCCCTTCGTTCGTAGTCGAAGAGGAAACACCTTTATTCTAGTTATTATAGACGCATTTACTAAATATGTCAATTTAACGGCTGTAAAGAATACAAAAACGTCAAGTACAATCAATGTATTTAAAAATCATTTTAGTTACTTTGGAAATCCACAAAGACTTATAACAGATAGAGGTTCCTGTTTCACTAGCAATCAATTTAAATCTTTTGTTCAAGGCCGTGGTATAAAACACATCCTAAATTCAGTAGCAACCCCAAGGGCAAATGGTCAAGTTGAGCGGTTTAACAGGACCATTTCTGATGCGCTCAGTACAAAGTGTCATGGACTCAAAGATAACTTGTGGGATGAATGCTTGCAAGATATTCAGCTTGGGTTAAATACAACAATTCATAAAACTACACAAAAGAGTCCATCAGAACTATTGTTTGGGCATAAAATAATAGGTAGTGCAGAAAACATAATAAACGAAATATTTGATGATACAGAAGATCGATTAACTGAAAATGAACTTGTAGGTATTAGGAAAGACGCTAGTGATCGAATGAGAGATAATGAAATGGCGATGAAAAATAAATATGATAAAAATCGTAAAGCAGGTCATTCATACAAAATAGGTGATTTGGTTAGGATAGAACGTAATTACAATGAAAAGGATAGTGCAGGTAAACCAAAGAAATTATTACCAAAGTTGCAAGGACCATATAGAATTTGTAAAGTGTTACCTAACGATAGATATTTAATCAAAGACACACCATTAACTCGTAAAAATAATAAGCGATATGAAAATGTAGTTGCGTTAGATAAGATTCATCCATGGGTCAGTTTTCAAAGAGATATTTGTAGTTCACAAAGTGATGATGATAATAATGATTCAGAGTAATGAGTAACATACTAATTGTTTCAACAGTAAGTAATTTATGATTTGAAATGAGAAAATAGTCAGTGCTGAGACACAGATGATTACAGTAGCAGACTACAGCGTGGGCAACTTTGTTAGTGCTAAAGATTAGCATAGATAACTAAGTCGCAGACTGCGCAGATGTAGGCTACAGATGTATCAGTGTCATGATTAATTTTGCACAGATGACAGAGGGCAGACTGCGGCGGTGTAAGCTGAGCGGTGAGTGTTATTTAGCATGGATATCCCCAGCAGATTATACCGTTCGTAGGCCCGTGATACGGTCAGTGCAGAGAAAGAGATAGCACAGATGACTATAGAAATCTGATACCTGATAGAGGAATTTGAAATTTAATAATTAGTTAGGTGATATTAATTTTAATTATTATATTATAGTAATTAATGTATTTGGTCACATAGATGATTTGTATTTTTTTTTGTGTATTGCTATTTATTAATGTTAAATTAATTAATATTAACTTAAAATGAATTTGTTAAGATTTATAAGATTATTCCTTTGATTTACTTTTATGTTGTTGTTTAATTAGCTAATCGAGCACTTAAATATGTACATTTATGAAAAAAATCTCTTTTGTTTTGTAGTTTTCATTGTTTTGCGAGAGGACTCGCCTTTGCTCAGGAAGGCCGAGCTGTTAGGATTACTAATTTATATACCGAATTTATACTCTGTGTTTATAAAATGTATTTTCTGAATGTCAGTTGACACTTGTCAATATTTTAAAAAGTAGGTCAACCCTACTTTTCGTTATGAACTTTGTTAGAATATTTAGTTTAGTCTTGCTTCATATTTGGTGGAAAGCAGTACAATATATACATTAATTACGAGAATAACGACGTTTTATTGGCCATCCCGTCATTATGTGTACTAAAAGTGATTGGTGTTCATAAAAGCATTAAAATCTTTTAGTACAAGACGTATCTACTCGTAAGTAACTACGCTTGGGTGTAGTAATACTTACAAGTGTGCTAGAAGAGGGATTCTTTTCGTATTTGATTCATACATCAAAATGGTAATATATATTTTTTTATATTTAAGAATTATACCCTACCTATACCATTTCTAGACCATCCTTCTTTCTATTGGTTAAAATCTATAAAGTTGTTTCTGAGATTAGCGCATACAAACACTAAATCTACTTTAATCTATACTAATATTATAAAGAGGTAAAGTTTGTGATTTGTGAGTTTGTGACGTTGTAGAGGGTAATCTCTGGATCTACTGAACCAATTTAGATGAAATTTGGTAAGAAGACAGTTTGAGATCCTGGAAAGGACATAGGATACTTTTTATCCCGGAAATCATCTCTTAAGGGGGTGAAAATGGGGATGAAAGTTTGTATGGGGAATTAACCTAGAGATGAACCCGAGCGAAGCGAGGGTGAGTCGCTAGTTTATAATAAGTAGTGAATAGTGATAGATATCTTGAAAACAAAAGAAAATATAATAACATAATTATATGATGGTTCGCTCTGAACATTTCGCAGACACAGTCATTAATTATGTACATATGTATGTACTTGCTGATTATTTAGCAAATATTCTCGCAATTACAATATGTTACCCGGCCTTGTGCTATAAAAGAGATATAAGGAACAGATATGGGACTTGGAAGTGTTATATTTACGTATTCATTATACCGTTATTGGTCATTTCTACAATTTATTTTTTTACTACTATAATTCTTGAGAATCTTTGTTATTAAAATGAAGTTGACCAACGCTTTTCAATCTTTACGTGGACGATTTGATCGCTGAGCTCAGCAGTACCAGGGTCGGCTGTTACGTGGATGGTGTTTGTGTAAACAATATTAGCTACGCTGATGACATGGTGCTGTTGAGTGCATCAATTTGTGGCCTTAGGAAGCTAGTGGCCATGTGCGAGGCTTATGTAGAAAGACATGGACTGATCTACAATACGAAAAAAAGTGTAGTGATGGTCTTTGAGGCCGAGGGTAAATCAAAATTTAATGTACCACCTATTACCCTTAATGGTGTAACTTTAGAAATGGTGTCTAAATTTAAATACCTAGGACATATATTGACCCCCGACCTCAAAGACGACACGGATATAGAGAGTTCCGGAGGGCGTTGTCAGTGAGAGCGAATATGCTGGCCCGTAGGTTTGCACGTTGTTCATATAGTGTTAAACTCACCTTGTTCAGAGCATATTGTACAACTTTTTACACGTGCAACCTGTGGGCCAAGTACTCTCAAAAATCATATAACGCGCTTCGTGTTCAATATAATAATGCCTTTAGGGTGCTGTTGGGATTGCCCCGTTTTTGTAGTGCATCAGGGATGTTCGCAGCAGCGAGGATAAATTGTTTCTATGCCACGATGCGCAAAAGATGTGGTTCCCTGGTGAATAGATTACGGGGTAGTACCAACAGCATCATGAGGGTAATTGCCAGTAGGTTGGACTGTAGATATGTTAGCCACTGCTGTGCTATTTCTTGTTAGTAATGTAATAATGAATAAAATGTATCTAGAGTGTAAGTACTAACATAGAATATAAGCACTTTGTATACTAACAAAATATGAGTCTTAGGTTACTTGAAATAAAATTTATTATTATTATATTATTATTATTATTATTAATAGGAAGAGAAATTATTTATTGTTTAATAAAAATCATCTACATAGTAAATAATACATAATCTACATTAATATATAAAGCTGAAGAGTTAGTTTGACGAAATATCAGTTTGATTTGAAAAAAATTTTTTGGATTCTATAGTATTTTTGGTATTTCTATATTATATCTGTGGATAAATGTATCCTTAAGGTATACTGTCCAAAGAAAAATATCAAAAAAATATTTAAGAAAATGCAAGTTAGTATTAAGTAACATGTACATGCACAAATTTTGTATTTATAAATATGTAATTAGTCGTCGCGCCAAAAGCAGCCATAAAGATTAGTAAGAAAATAACTGACAATCATTATTAAGTTTGGACGGAAATATTTCAAATTTTGTAATAATCTTCTTAAAGCTTAATTTGCGAGTGTCAACATCAAATGACAAGTAACAAGATAAGCCAAGTTTGAAGGGTTAAAATTGCCATCAACTAGAGAATAGAATTACTTTTTAAGCCACAAAAAGAACAACGTACTTTAAAGTTTCGGAAAATAAATACTGAAAATCATTTAAACTGAAAATATACCCTTAATTTGAATTACGGGCTACTGCGAATCTGATCAAGAGTTCCGTAGCATGAAATATCTATACATATAATAAAATTCTAACTTAGCCGAATCTGTACATTAAATATTTTTTGGAAAATCTTATTGAAATAGACATTATTATCGATACAGAGGCCGAATCTATAGTTTTTAGAGTTTTTGTCTGTCTGTCTGTCTTTCTGTCTGTCTGTCTCTTATCGCATCACAGAAAAACCGCTGGAGGGATTTTGATGAAATTTGGTATGGTGATAGCTGGTTATCTGGAGTAACATATAGGGTACTTTTAACCGCGGGAAAATATCTTAATTCTGAGAAAAAATACAAAAACTGCAATGTAAAAGTATACTAATATGTAAAACCTAAAAATTTGGTTTTTGGTCATCTGATCGCGGGCGGAGCTGCGGGTAAATACTAGTATAATATATAATACTGGGAAAGAAAATGCTTTATTATCTTATTATAAAGTGTTATTTCATGCATTAAATATGTGCGCCTGATATGGAAAAGTACTAGCTCCTGAACCCCAGTTTTCTGGTTCAAGAGTTAGGGCTGTGTGTATTTGTTACTATTGTGTTATTTGAGTAAAGTCTGTTTTTTTCTAGTTTTTAATTCCCAGTTCTGTCGTCCGTGTTGTCGTCCGTCTGGCGGTTTATCGCAACCGCGTTTATATCTGCAGGAGAACCAATAATCGGTGGAGTAAGAATTCATGAATGGAGATCACAGTTAGGCTCACAATTTGTGCCTGCTATAAGAAGCGATGACTTGCGTCGTACATTGGATACGGCATTGAACCAAACATAATAAAACTAAATGGCTGACTATAAGAGGTTGCGATATCCAACATTAGACTGAAAGAAATTGATGACGATGATCAAAATAACATTATTTTAAGTTGAATATACATATGTATGCTATATTATAATATTTTTATTATTAAATGGACTTTATTTACAAGAAACAATGTATTGAAACTAAATGTATAAGTACTTTAAGATAACATGTACTATTTAAAACTAACACAAAATTAATAATTTATTTAATCTATGATTCTAAAAAAAACATTTATGACATTTGACGTCACGTTTGGCTCAGTTTGTAGTGACCCTACTTGCTGCGCCAACGGTCGCGGGTTCGAGTCCCGCTGGGGGCATTCATTTATGTGATGAACACGAATGTTTGTACTCCAGTCATGGATGTTTATATTTATAATATGTACGTATTTAAAGTTATATATGTAGTGTATCAACTATCTGGTATCCATAACACAAGCCTCGTAGCTTACCATTTAATTAGATGGTGTTGTGTGTTAATGTATTTATTTAAAAATATTACTTTGATAATAATTTATAGCACTTATCATGCCCAATAATTACATACCAGAGGGTTTACCGAGTTCGATTGCTTTTTCTACCTATAGAAAAGAAAGATATTGTATGGATTACAATTACAACTACAATGCAGCATTTCTTCCAAATTTTCATATCCATAACTCTTGTAACTTTACTACAGCACACCTCCTACATAAATTATTTTTAATCTGCGCCCGATACTAAGCAGATACACGGTCATACAACCCGTGCAGATAAGGATTTATATCGCAATAACCGGATCGGTTTGGAATCGGTCCAGAAATAGAATCTATTTGCAACATGAAGGGAACTAGAACATCTTCAATTGCTCCAAACTTTCCCTGCTATCTGCGATTAGATGTAATTTGCCCACTTGCAAATATCTACTAAACCTTTCATCAGAATATCTAATTCAAACTTACTTCTAAGATTCTGAATCTTAATATTTAGTTACTTAAACTTGGATTCTCTGTAATGTGGAAATGGAGAATTGACTTCATGAATACATGAATGAACGTAGAATTAACAAAATCGCAACACAAAAACAAAACGATATATAGTTAAATCTATTTGTTAGTAGCAAACTATTGACTAGATATACTGATATAATATTTGTACAAGTTTTTTTATCTATACAGATTATTAAAATTTAAAGTGTCTCTTTGTAATGTCAAAATAACAGCATTTCACTAAATGCATATGAAATTATATACGGTACTTATAATGAAAACACAATTTTTAAATTTTTTGTCTGTCTGTATATCTGTCTGTCTGTCTGTCTGTTTGTTCCGGACAAGCTCTGAAACGGCTGGACTGATTTTGACTAGACTTTCACTGGAAGATAACTAATGTTATAGGGAGTAACATAGGTTACTTTTATTTTAGAAACAGAATTAGGGTTCCGCTCAAAAAAATTAAAACGCACCAAAATAAATTCTTTGAAATTCCAGTACCCATACTAATATTATAAATGTGAAAATGTGTTTTTCGTTTATTTGTCCTTCTTTAGTGATTGGCGTGATTTTTTGTGTGGAGATATTTAGAGGGCTGGAGAGTGACATAGGCTACTTTTATCTCATTCCCACGGGAAAACATGTTATAATACAACTCAAAAAATTGATTTATGATCAGAATAACCTGAAAATTGGTATTAATGCTCTTCAATACAATTAAATAAGTAAGTGTTTTAGTATTTGTTGAAATTCATCCCATAAGGGGGTAAAATAGGGGATGAAAGTTTGTATGAAACCTACGTTTTTAGAGTTTTTTTTGTAGTTTTACCGCGAGCGAAACCGCGGGTTCTGCTAGTGTAAATATAAATAACGAGCTTATCGTTCATAAGCAATTATCAAGCGTTAAAGGTTATTTTATTTAAATAAAAGTTGGCTTACTATTACAAGGTTCTATGTTAATTTTAATGAAGTTTAGTAATTTTTACATAGAACTTCTTTATTTTGTTATCGTAAAAAAAACAACATAGAACTATGTAAAATTGAATATTTTGTAGTTATAGTGCCGCTATCTAGTGGTTTGTTTTTGCAAAACTGTAGCTAAAGACACATAGAACCTTGTAGCATTAATAACTAAATAAGTACTAAAATTGTAACATAGAACCTTGTAATAGTGAGCCAACGAATTTTTATTGATAACGTAACACAAAAAGGTAACTGATTTTCACTATTTTCAGAGAAATAAATATTAATAAATTCAACTATTCTGTTATTTCATATTGAGTATTAGAATAGCCGAGTGTATCAAAATTTTATATGAAAATATATACCATTATTATCAAATTACCTAAAATCTAAATGAATTTAGACTATAAATAAATAATTATGATATTATCATAAGGGAAATGAGGCATAGTATTAAATTATTTTCATTCTCATTGAAAAAGATATACATTTTTGTAATCGTATAATATAATGTTTTATTCAAAATGAACGCTTTGTTTGTAAATATTTTTGCAGATAATGGGAGTGACGATTAGGATAACGATGTAGTTCCTTGGTACTATATACCTATTATTAAATTTTAACCTACATTTACATAATTCGGGTTTGATTTAGAAGTAAATTAGATACACCTAAAACATTAAGTATATATTACATGAATGGACAGTACGCTTATGCAAGAGGCAGTGAGAGCCCAGCCTTTAAAAGATGTGAAGTCCGCCAACTAGCATTTTGTCAGCCTGGTCTGGTCTGGTATGGTCTGATTCCGCTCGTATTGTAGGATAGCTCGTGCCCAGCAGTGGAACGTTGAAAAGGTTTAAAAAGACATGATAATATAATGACATAAATACATACGCACAAGCTTTTATACGACTGGAAGTAGTATGAAGGTGTCTTGGGTTAGAAAATTTGTAATTTGTTTGCCAATAAAACTCTACAAAAATATTTGTATGTGTATGTAACCTAAATTATTGGAATAACTTTAAAATTTGTAGTACTGTGCTATATATCCTATAAATAATATATAACCATTAATATATTTGACTGGAGAGAGGGCGCTACTGTGCTCGTGTGTACATCTGATCCGCTATCATATTGTGTTTTAAAAGTAAAATAGTGTACAGATAAATCTAAAAATAAGTAAATTATGTGAAAATATAAGTGAATGCACCCAATAAATGTTATAAAACGTGCGCGTTCTATATTAATCCGAAAATTGTCAAGAAACCGCAACAGCTATAGTTGGACGTTAAACTTTTCAACACAGAAAAAGTGGGAAAATACTACACTTGGGAGATTAAGAAGGTCAGTTTTTTCGATTGTTTAGACAATTAAAGAGATTTTAGGCGGATAAGGCTGTGTTATAAAAATTTAGTGCAAATTTATAACCTTAAATTAAGTAAGAAAAATACAAAATCATCACAACAATCGATATTGTAGAATACCGCCATCTAGTGACCAATAGCAAAAATATTAACGAACAAATCACTATTGGAAAATAACGCCATCTACCAGTAGCAAAACTTACTACCTCCAGCGCTACAAACCAAACTACTGACATTGTTGCGTGAATACCCAACAGAGGGCAGAAGCAGTATGGAAGATATAGTAAAAATTTTACAAGTCATACAAGATGATCTATCAAAACAAAAACAAAGTATGAAAGAGATGGAACAAAATATTAAAGAATCAATTAACAACAATATCGATGAAAAATTCAACCTTATCGAAAGCAAAACTAAACAGCTAGAAATTAAAATCGAACAACAGCAAAAAACCATTGATTTTTTAGAAAAACAGGCTAGAAGGAAAAATGTTGTCTTTTTCGGGATTGAAGAAAAAGAAAAAGGATATGAAAATCTACTCTCTATAATCTTGGATATAATAAATAATAATTTGGAAATACCTTGTCAGAAATGGGAAATAGAAAATGTAAATAGAATCGGAAAATATTCTGGGAAAGTAAGACCAGTAGCTGTTACAATAACTACAATCAGCCGAAAAATAGAAATACTGAAAAATGGGAAAAAGCTTAGTAATACAAATATGTACTTAAAAGAAGTTTTTCCACCTAGTGTTTTACAGAAACGCAAAGACTTACAGGAAGAACTTGAACGCGAACGACAAACAGGAAAGAGAGTAGCTCTGCGCTATGACAAAATCGTAGAACTGAAAACACGCGGATCACAACCCCGTACGCATACGGAAAGAAACAAACTACTTATGTCTATGTCACCCGAGGAGGCAGAAAAAAATAATACAAAAACTACTAACGAAGGGACAAAACATGTTTTTAAAAGAAACAAGTCACAAACCATAACAGGCTTTTTACGCCCTTCACAGTTTAACCTTAACAACCAAACACCGTCAAACGTAGATACCCAAAAAAACTAATTAATGCCTCTTCTACCTCTCTACCCCCTCCAAGCCGGCCGGTCACCGTGGAGGAGTTAGACCACTACCTCCTAAATCTTAAACAAAAACAATATAACAAGAATAATAGTATAACAATAAACAAAAGAAAAAAATCACTTAACATACATATAGCAAGTGTCAATGTAAGAACTTTACTATCGGATAGCAGACTCGAGGAATTGAAAAACGCCATTAAGGACATAAAGTGGGACATAATTGGCTTATGTGAAGTTAGAATAGGAAATGAAGAAATAGAAGAATATCCCGAGTTCATTTTATACCATACTTCTGGAACGAATGGAAGAAATGGAGTTGGATTCTTAATTAAAAAACAACTAAAAAACAATATAATGTGTTTAAAAAGCTTCTCGGATCGGGTTTCGTTACTAGAAATACGGCTAGCTGACAACTCTACCTGGTCGTTTGTTCAAGTATATGCGCCCACCGAAGCATACACAAAAGAAGATATAGACCTCTTTTATCAAACAGTGCAATCGGCCTTAGACTCTACCCAAACGAAAAACATTATATTACTTGGCGATTTCAACGCAAGAATTGGTAAAGCTCAAGAAAATGAAGGAAATAACATAGGGAAATATACATACGGTAAAGAAGTTCACACGGTCAGAAATTAGTTGGGTTTGTACTTGAGAACGGCTATTTCATCATAAACAGCATGTTTCCGTGCAATCCACGTAAAAAATGGACGTGGCGCTCACCCAATGGCAAGGAACTCAATGAGATTGACTACATACTCACAAACCAACCAAGATACATAAAAAAATTTGATATAATAAAAAATTTAAACTTTAACACTGATCACAGAATGATACGTTGTGTGTTATCTTTAGATTTGAAACCAAAAAGAAGGAAAATAAAACCTGTTGTCTACACCAGAAATTTACCAACGTTATCAAAAGATGATGCTAGTTATTGGGAAAACAAATTTATGAAAGCTGTTACTGCGTCTACCGTAGTTCAAAATCAATATGATAAATTAGAAATAGAATTACAAGAGCTTATGAAGCAGTTGCCACGTGAAAAGAAACAGCCAATTAACTATATCAACGAGGAAACAAAAGACCTGTTAGAACAGAGGAAAGAATTATGTAAGAAGAAAAGAACAACTGAAATCAAGTCTAAAATAACAAGATTAAGCAAAAAAATTAATAGGAATATCACTCACGAGAAAAAAATGACACGCAAAAAAACTTTTGAAAGATTTATAACAAAAGCAGGGGCCCTACGCAAGGCTTACAGAGAGCTGAGCGATAAGACAAAGTGGACAGTGAATATGAAAAATAGACAGGGAACTATGCAATATAGACGTCCAGATATTATAAAGGAAGCAACTAACTTCTACGCGGAGCTCTACAATACCGATGAAGAGACGCGCCCTTCAGGATTTTACCTTACGAAACCGAACGAACACAATATAGTAAATAAGGACACAGAGACACCTAATATCCTTATTTCAGAAATCGAACACGCAATAAGTACCCAAAAAAATGATAAAACCCCCGGAAGTGATAACATTGCCAATGAAGTGCTTAAGTCGCTATCAAATTCACTTCAGAAACCTCTACAAATATTATTCAACAATATTCTAAAAACAGAAACCACGCCGGAACAATGGTCAAAGTCTACAATTATATTGCTTCACAAGAAAGGAGACAGAAATATTCTCGGAAACTATAGACCGATCAGCCTCATGACGAATTTATATAAAGTTTTCTCAAAAATAATTCTAAACAGAATAACAAATAATTTAGACGAAAACCAACCGCGCGAACAAGCGGGCTTTCGTAAAGGATACTCGACTACAGATCACATACAAGTCATAACACAATTAATAGAAAAAGCCAAAGAATACAGAAAGACGTTGTATATGTGCTTTATAGACTACACGAAAGCCTTCGACTCCTTATATTTTGATGCAATATGGACGTCACTAGCACAGCAAGGCGTTGACTCAACATATATAAACATAGTAAGCAGTGTCTATTCAAAATGTTACGCCAAAGTACGGTTAGAGCTTGAAGGTTCAGAGTTCCCTATAAAAAGAGGAGTGAGACAGGGAGACCCGCTCTCGCCAAAAATCTTTTCGGCAGTACTCGAGTCTGTATTCCGACGTATGGATTGGGAAACGAAAGGAATAAATATAGACGGGGAACTACTGCATCACCTACGCTTCGCGGACGACATCGTGGTATTTGCTGAAAGCGCGTCAGAGCTCGAGAACATGGTCAGGGAACTAGCATTAGAAAGCCATAAAGTAGGACTGTCACTCAACACAAAGAAAACTAAGATCCTAACCAATGGAGACCCACAAGAAATTGTTGTAGAGAACGAAAAAATCGATTATGTAACAGAATACATTTATCTGGGACAATCAGTATCTTTTGAAAATAACACCGCAAAAGAAATACAACGAAGGATAACTCTAGCATGGAAAAAATATTGGGGCTTGAGAGAAATAATGAAGAATAACACAGTTAGTATAAATATAAAGAAGAGAATCTATGAAACAGCAATATTACCATGTCTAACATACGGTTGTCAGACGTGGGCCATAAGAAATGAGGATGAAGAAAAAATTGCTATATGCCAGAGAAAAATGGAAAGGAGCATGCTGGGAATAAAATTATCAGACAAAATTCACAACAGTGACATCAGAAACAAAACAAAAATAATAGATGTAAGGAAAAGAATTCGATTACTAAATTGGCAATGGGCAGGGCATGTTTGCAGGATGAACAATAGATGGACAAAACGTTTAACAGAGTGGATACCAAGGGACAGAAAAAGGAGAGTAGGGAGACCTAGTAAAAGATGGAGAGACATTTACAGACACAGGTGTGGTAATGACTGGATGCAAAAGGCTCGGGAAAGAGATGTTTGGAAAGGTTTAGAAGAGGCCTACGCCGCAGAGGCGACTACTACTAATATATACTGAATATTATTTTATGCTACATACACATATAGATATAGAAATATAGATTACAAAAGTTAGTACACATATAGTTATTTAGATATATAGATAGTCATATAGTTTTATATAGATAAGTAAAAACATTTACAAATACACATTCAAAAAGTCCCAAAGATCTGTATATGTAGTTGTGTTCAAAAGAAAGAAAAATGTTAACGAAAGTAGTAAGTTAATAAAGGCTATTTTATTTATTATTTATTTATTTAATATATTTGACTGTCGAATTTGTTTGACGACACGTTTGACTCAGTTTGTAGTGACACTACTTGCTGTGCCAGCGGTCGGGGGTTCGAGTCCCGCTGGGGGCATTCATTTGATTAGCACGAATATTTGTACTCTAGTCATGGGTGTTTATATTTATAATATGTATGTATTTACAGTTATATGTGTGTAGTGTATTAACTATCTGGCATATGTCCATAACACAAGCCTCGTAGCTTACCATGGAACTAGATTGTGGTGTGTGTTAATGTCCCATCATATATATTTATTATTAATAAAAATCCTTAAATAAAATATAAAGAAATCCAAATAGGTAATAAAATAAAGCAATTCATGTAAATAAGAAATCAGTTCACATTTATTAGCAAAAATATAATATAATCTAACATAGACACAGTTAAACATAAACCCAAATATATTTCATTGCGTCGTCCTCTTTTGAACTCAGTGTAACATAGATATTGAAAAGAGAATTATTTCATTATTAATTCAAAGTCGTAAATTACAATGACCAAAGAGATGAGGGTCTAATGTGACCTTAGTTACCTTGCGAAGAGAACACCCGCAACGTTAGCCATTAAATTTATTAGAAGATAACATGTTAATATAAAATAAAGTAAGATATATTAGTATATAAATGTTTTCTATTGTTTTATAAACTACTAGCGATCCATATTAAAATCTTTAATTTTACAATAAAATAAGAAAATAATCGAGATAAAAACTGTCCCATCTTTTAAATTGGAACAAATTACATATTTTGAAAAAATACCGTTAAAATCGTATAAGTAGTTTCGGAGTTCATCCTGGACGAACATCGTGACACGGGAATTTTATATATTAACATATATTCTCTCTATCATTCTAATATCACATTGTATTTTAAGCTTGTCTTATTGCAAAAGTTTTCAGTAATGATTCTATCGACCAAATCGACATTGCATTGCATTCTTTGTGTTTGAATAACTTATTTAACACATTTATGTTTCAGATTTCTATTCAAAGACAGAGATGTTAATTTGTCAAATTATTTTATTTAGTAGTGAGTTGTACCTACATATTACAAATAAGTACATCTATACTAATATTATAAAGAGGTAAAGTTTGTGAGATTTTGGGTTTGTGAATTGTGAGTATGTGACGTTGTAGAGGGTAATCTCTGGATCTACTGAACCGATTTAGATGAAATTTTGGTAAGAAGATAGTTTGAGACCCTGGAAAGGATATAGAACACTTTTTATCCCGGAAATCATCTTTAAGGGGGTGAAAATGGGGATGAAAATTTGTATGGGGAATCAACCTAGGGACGAACCCGAGCAAAGCGAGGGTGAGTCGCTAGTATTACACAATTCTATAGCTTTATGTAATAATTTTGATGGCCTATGCTTAAATAATTCTTATTACCTTAAAATATTAAGCTATAATTGAACTGCAATACCAATACAAATATAGACAATCTAATATCATATTAGAATAAGAAAGTTTCATAATATTTAAAATCAATCATACAGAGAACATAAAAACTACCAACCAATATGTTTTTCTGTTCTAAATATTTCAAAATAGATCTACATAAAATGTATAATCCGTTACTGCACCATACAAAGTTTTTAAACGCAAGCTACGAGCGTGACGGACGGATGTGTACAAAAAACATCTAAAATGTCCACTGAATATCAAACATGAAGTAATATTTTATTTGCAAACAGCCTTTTAAATGCCACGCCGTGATTGGTTTAGTTACTTTTTATTCTATTTTATTGGAAAACTATAAATAGTAACAGACTAACTAGAATTCAATATTAATATTTATACTACTGTCTTCTTAGTTATTATAAATAAAGAAATTTCAATCTCAGTAAAAGATTAAGTAACTTAGTATTTTGCCTAAATAGCCATGTCGTGCACATCAAAACGTCACGCGACATTAAGCCTACTCAAGAGACAAATATTATATACTCGTACCTACATTGATATCGATGAGACGAGGATCATACGGAGCGAATAACGATAAAGGCAACATTTTTTAAAACAAAATCCCCATAATACGTAGATTAAATGATGTCAAGTAAAACAATGGTTTATAAAGGATTTTGTAAAATTTTTGCCTCGATTATTCGCTTTATTTTATGGGAACTTCAGTTTTTCTAATTTTAACTCTTACCTTAGTTTGAACTCTAAATTTTTGTTATGTTGGTAGTTTATTCATAAACAGTAATTACTAATTAATTAATTATAAACAAAACAAACTTAATATAATAAAAAAATCAAGCAGTTAATAAAAATGAAGATTTGTTTTGATTTTTGATTTTGGTTTGGTCAAATCACACCATGATTGCTTTAAAGCATTCGAAACGTCGTGAACCAAAAAAATCAAAATAAATCCCAAGCGAAAAAAAACCCCAATAGACAGTTTTCTTTAAAATATCAAATACTAGCATTGCCCGTGGCTCCGCCCGCGTTCAGGTTACCAAAAACCAAATTCTTAAGTTTTACATATTAGTATACTCTTACATTGCAGTGTTTGTGTTTTTTATCAGAAATGAGATATTTTCCTGCATTAAAAAGTATTCTATATGTTGACCCGGATACCAGCTATCACCAATCCAAATTTCATCATAATCCCGTCAGTGGTTTTTCCGTGATGCGGTAACAGACAGACAGACAGACAAAAATTCTAAAAACTATAGTGTCGGCCTCCGTATCGATAATAATGTTTATTTCAATAAGATTTCCCAAAAAAATATTTAATGTACAGATTCGGCTTAGAATTTTATTGTATGTATAGATATTACGTATTTATAATATTTACGTATAAGCCTACCTCTGTATGTATGTATATATATTTAGTACGAAAAACTAAATTCGCAATTAGTTATTAAAAAAAAAAAATTTTACGTCTATCCATTCTCCATCAGTGAGAATAACAAAAACAATTTATGCTCAGAATATGGTTTGCTCTATTCCATGGAACTTAATATAAATAGTTGTTCAACAAATTCTTTACATATCATAAGGGCAAACTTAGATACATATATTAAGAATTTTTTTTTGCAATCACTGCATCGATTTTAAGTCAATAATAGTTTAGATTGATCGATTATGAACTGCCAAAATAATTTCTACTAGCTTTTTCCCGCGGTTCTATATTATATATACGGTTATTTAATTTTATTTTATTTTTATTTTATTTTAATTAGGATCTCCAACAAAAGATACACACAATATACAACATCATATAAAAACAAAAAGCAAATAAGACTCACAATACGTGTGCTCCTTCACTTATAGGAGACCACAGCTTGCTCATTAATGTATTTTACGTTATAACTAAGTTTAAACTAAGAAAAAATTAACGTCTAGAAACAAATCTGAAACTATATATAGAGATACAAAAAAAAGAAACAAATCATATTACAACACATTTAAACATTTCTACTAAAGTTACGATAAGAATTTAGTAATACTATAGTAAACATAGATAAGAACGACGCTAAAAATATAATATGGACCTATTTATAATTACTATAAAAATAAAAAGACACTATATTCACACCATTCATTGAAGACATAAAAGTGACTTTAGCTAAAAAAGGTCAAAGAGAGTTCTAATTTGGTACATTGTTACAGTTTAATAATTGTCCCATTTAATAATCCATATATTCGCTCTAAAGTGACCGGCGCTTGCGCCGCCATGTGTGAAAAATGCTACCAAAAACCAATTTCTCCCGCATCATTTATCATAAAATAGAGTTAGTTAGTAAGTTTCTCCATTTTGATACCCTAGATGGTCTAGGATCACTTGAAGCAATATCTTCTTGTTTCTTCTTTTTCCTCTTCTTTCGAGCTTTCATCTTCGTTGCCTTCTTCGACCTCGTGGGCAGTCAAACCTTTGAGATGTTTTCGTTTTCATAATCACCGCCTCAATATTCTCCAGAGCTCCCAAAAAACGTTTGCGCTGTTTTACCCGAGTCTCCATGACAACACGTGCAGACAACAGTGCATTTCAAGCCTGTTAAGATAAAAAATAATTATGCTCATTAAAGCATAAAAAATTATGATTGATTGATTGATGATTTAATTGGATAATAAATTGATTTTTAATCATGCCATAAAATTTATAATTAACAAGGCAATAAAATCTGTAATTTCATGTTGATAATTTGCTTTCTACCTACCTTGGCTTCCGGTTTGATTTTTTCATAAGCTAACTTTTACTTAGTAACGGAAAAAAACTAAAAAGCAGCAGCAGAGCAGTTTTGTGCTCTACGTACTAAAACTTAGTAAAGCAAAACAAAAGCACTAAAAAGTAAAAAATAACTGATTGGTAGTTTTCATTTACTATACATACCTAATCAAATATTTTCGAAGTCGGTGTGCTTTGCTTTGTATGGGCTGGCACCGATTTCGAAAATATTTGATTAGGTATGTATTTAATAGGTAGGCTTTAATTACTTAGCCAACTATATATATAATACTTACATTACACTTTTTAACTATTACTTATAATACAAATATATAAAAGCTATAGAATAATATCCTTAAAAAGAATAATGGAGTATACTTGTATTATTATTTATTATTTTCAATATTACTTTTATTATTATAATATTTTATATGGTTTATGTACTCAGCGCATGATGATATTTCGCGATAGATAATGATCTGCTTTCAGTATTATGAAAATGAGCAATATTTAAACAGCTGAATAAAACAACCTTAGAGACAAGTGGTCGTTAGCTTAATCGGTATCTCCATTACCTGCAGTAAAGATTCGCTAAGCATCGCTTTAAAAAGTTTTTACCATCTGTAAAAATGTTTATTATAATTTTAACATTTTATTACTAAGTAAATTTTAATCTAAATTTTGAACTTTCTCTACAATGGCATAATTTTATTTAAAAAAAATACATATAAAAGGTACCTACTGCTACCACATGCCTAATTCCACGATATTACTAGTCTTTAAAAATATTTTTAAAGGACTTGCAAAAAGTGATAAAATGATAATTAAACTTTAAAGAATGTGTTACATATAATTATTAATTGAAAATTTAAAATACTGAGTATGCGACGAGATCTTCTGATCAAACGATTTCAATATCAACTAAGGAATATTATAAAGTAAATTCAATGAACAAAACATTTGAGAGAGATTTTTATTTAAGCCAATAGTTGTAAACATTGTAACTCTGCATTATGAAGGGATATAGGGAAAAGATATATAGAAAATTCCTAAAAAATATAAAATTTCATTGAAAGTATTATTTTTAAGTAGGTTTTGAGTTACGGGATTTTATAATATATATTTTTGTTAGTTTAAAGACCCTGAAATTAACTTTGTTTTTCATAGTTATTTATGCTATCAATAAAGAATATAAATATATTGAGATTTCAGGTGAAGAGTAAATGCTGTAGGTATTTTACTTCTAACCCAACAAATTACGTAAGTTTAAACTAGCTTTGATACTACGATATCCTAGGCTAATCAGTCTAACACACCATGTAGCTCATTTTAAATAATTGGTAAATAGAATTAGTATTTATTACTTATTGTTTTCGGACTTTATATTATTAGTAATTACTTACGAGTCTACCGTATCATAAGAATATTGCTATTTTATATATATATATTCACCTTCACCGTAAGGCAAGTGGTAATTATGCTAGAAATGATTCGCACATGAAAATATCAGAGGTGCGATACCCGGGATTTGAACCCGCTTCACTCGGTTTCCCAAGCGAGCGCGTTACCACTGGGCTACCACTGCCTTTTTATACATATACGAACCCGAGCGAAGCTAGGGTAAGTCGCTAGTATATAAATATAATATGTAAGTAACTTATATTATTATAAAGATAAATATAAAAGAAAATAAATGTACATACCTACTTACACATAAATTCTTAGCATAGCGGCAATAACTAGTCTTATCATTGGAATTCACAGAATGACAGGATCTTGTTAAGAAAATGGCGAAAATGTTTTTTATTTCGACGTTTATCGATAAATATGCGAAAACTTTATTCAGTAAAAGTAAAATAACACAAACTATGTAAAGCACATAATTTTTCCAGAAAAAACTATATTCTGTTGTTTTTCTTATGCAAACACATTCTTAAGTTATCATTTCTTACTCTTTGTAATTTATTATAATAGATCTAGGAATTCGTTTTTATTTAACTTATTTTAATATGACATAACTAGTTTTTCTTATTTTTAATTATTACGTTCGTGGAGTTTTATAAGAACACTTCGAATGGAGAACTCTCTCTATTTTAACCTTATTTGTTAGTTACAAATCAATTTATTGGAAATTTTACATTTACATAGTGAAAATCACACCCGACTGCTTATTACTGTTTAAAATAGACAGCCGTTAAAACGATCGTAATAGAATACCGTCAGGACCCTTCGCCTACGAACCCTAAAAACGGCTCCATAAAATCTGTCTAACAATTCTCGACCGGTGAACGGGTTAAAGAGAACATGGGCAAACTATTGATATGACTTTTGACTAATTCCAAACATCCCTTAAACATAAACACGTTTTAGTTTATGTTTTAGTATTAGCTACTATCTGCTTAATTTTTTGAATTTATGACGATGTTTCATGATGATATTTTTGACTTAATCTAAGAAATAGATGGAGAACATAATTATGACGATAATTTAACATTTAAATTTTTTAATCAATCTTCTTCTCCCTGCCCATTTCCCAAATCACTTGGGGTCGGCGCAGTACATCTTCAGTGTACTGCTGATAGGATTTGGCAAAAGTTTTACGACCGGCCGCCTGCCTGACGTCAACCCTCCTTGGGAATGCTATTGTCTTTCTTTGTCTGAATGGTGTTAAATATTATGCACTTTCGATTTTGTTGTGTTTTAAAACATTTTTTATACTATTAATTCAATTATTAATGTTATTTTTGGATATATTTTAAAATAAATTTCGATTACACAATAAATTTTGTATTGACGTTGTCAAATTTTTATAATAAATTTTTTAATCAATATACAACTAAATATAGGAACAAAAATATTTCGATTACGAATCGATTCGAATTCCTATTGTACATGTATTTACTTACTTAGTTCCAAGATCTGAAGGAATTTAGGCGTCATTATAACAAAACTAGGGTAATATAGTCCTCATCTACAATTCTAGCTATCACAAGGGAATCGTGATTTATTGGGATGAAAAACAAGGTAATGTATATTTGCAAGAAATTCGTGTCTCTTGAGCTTTTGAGATTACTATCAAACAAACAACTGTGACTTATACCTATTTATTTTCTTGATTGTATAATTTATCAAAATATCATTCTTTTAGTAAGTTTGGATATTGTAAAATTCGCGTATTTCTTTGTTATATCATTATATAACTTATCTTTTATTAACAGTACTTTTATTTATATATTTTTAATCTATACATATAATAAAATTGTAACTAAGCCGAATCTGTACATTCGATATTTTTTGAAAAATGTTATTGAAATTTTATTTTTTATTATTGAAATAGACATTATTATCGATACAGAGGCCGAATCTATAGTTTTTAGAATTTTTATCTGTCTGTCTGTCTTTCTGTCTGTCTGTCTAGACACCACCGTTACCGTATCACGGAAAAGCCACTGGAGGGATTTTAATGAAATTTGGTATGATGATAGCTGGTTATCCGGGTCAACATATAGGATACTTTTTACCGCGAGAAAATATCTCATTTCTGAGAAAAATACAAAAACTGCAATGTAAGAGTAAACTAATATGTAGAACCTAAGAATTTGGTTTTTGGTCATCTGAACGCGGGCAAACCGCGGGTAATGCTAATAATATAATAATAATTCAGCCTTTTCTAACATCCCACCACTGGATACGGGTCTCCCATCAATGCGAGGGTGGTCAGACCTTCATTCACCACGCTGGCCAAATTGGATTGGCGGATTTTACATGTCTACTAAGTGAATGAACTAGTTAGATTCTCTCATATAAGCAGAAAGGATTCTTCACGATATTTTCCTACACCATAACATAAGTGGTAACCTTGTTAAAAACATTGTATAGATATAATTTTTATTAAAGAAAAAATAAATATGTTCATAATTAGGTTGACAAACAACAATATAAAAATTTAATTAATATATGCATCGAATGCCCATCACCTTTACATACTAAACGTTCACTTAAACCACTCTATTGCGATAAAATGAATATTGCAAATATTGAAATGTGTAAAATTTAAATAGTAATAATAAAACAAATACGTTGTTAGCTTAATCAATATGTCTACGTGCAGTTAAACAATTCACTACAGATTGCCATTTTTAAAAGTATCGACTTATATAAGAAATCATTTTATTTTGAAATTAAAACATTTTATCTAAGTGGTAAATCATAATTTATTGTAATGCTAAAATGTAAAAAGAAACATCTAACTAAAACACGCTTGGCTCAGTTTGTAGTGACCCTACTTTCTATGCCAGCGGTCGCGGGTTCGAGTCCCGCTGGGGGCATTCATTTGTGTGATGAGCATGAATGTTTGTACTTCAGTCATGGGTGTTTATATTTATAATATGTATGTATTTAAAGCTATATACGTGTAGTGTATCAACTATCTGGTATCCATAACACAAGCCTCGTAGCTTACCATGGAACTAGATGGTGTTGTGTGTTAATGTCCCAACATATTTATTTATTTTATTTATTAAAATACACGTGTATCCTCTCTGTAAAAAAATAAATGAATGAAGCTTAAATTCGTTTAGATTTAAAATTTAGCATTGAAAAAATGTAGGTCAGCAGGCCCGTAGCGTTAAATGGACGCAATTAGTTCACAGCTCTGCTAAATGTGAAAGGGATGTATAAATGATGCTACGAAATACATATTTTAAGAAAAAAAAATATAAAATTTTTTGTTCACTTAGATCGAATTTTGGTATCCCCAGGTTTCAACACAGGATTTAATAATAACTTGAATTATACAAAACTAAGTTTTTTATTTATGAAAGATTTTTT